AACTCCAATTCACCATTGTATACACCACATTTCATTTTGTTTCTCTGTTGGTTTGCCCTGAGTACTCTCTTCCAAATGCTTGTTACATAGAGGACTGTGTAATTTAAGTTTGGGGGAGTGCTCAGGGATTATTTGACATTGTGTTTTGTTTTCTTATTTCAAATTTTGCATCATTGCATCTAAGGCATAGAAACCATAAAATTTTGAAATTTTTCGAAAATGATTTCACAAAAACAGAGTGTTCATATAGCTTGCATTGTCATTTTAGGATTGTTTTAGTATGCTTTCACTTAGGGCTGTTGCATCATGCATTTGCATTGGAAATTATGATGATTATAACCTTGTAAATATGCTTATTCACTAAGTAGAACTCAGTGCCCTGGTTGTTAGTTCTCTAATGCATAATCGACTGAACTTGAAGTAAGACCGCACCATCTTTTGAATTCAACGCTTGATTTTCTTGTTCTTAGTCGAAACTCGCTTTGATCTGATGTCATTCCCTATCAATTTGAACTTGAATTTTGACTTATAATTATCATGCTGTGCATTGTGCTATGAACTCATGGATACCTTAAAATACTTGGACTTTCTTTTACCTTTTGATCACTCTTGCTAGTCCAAGTAGCTGACTCCCATCTTTGGAGCAGTTATTCCCCACCCTTAGCCTTAACCTTCTTTCAAGCCATTTATCATTTGTGTGTGAATGCGAGGCCTTGTTTCGATTGAGCTTGGTAGAAAGTGTTAGGTCTGTAACGACAAGGATAGTATCTCATGTAGTTCTGGTTCACGTTATCTGGACCAGATAGGACTAGGTGGGTGCTTAATTCTGGGTTTGGGTTGTGTTTAAAAGAAAGAAAAGGTTGTGTTCATCATTGAAAGAAAAGAAAAGGGAAAAGAGTTCTTAGGAGAAGTAGCTAAAGTAAGAAAAGTCTAGTAAAGGATTTGGGTGTGCAAAAGTAAAGAAAAGGGTTCTGTAAATAGCTTAAAGAGAATGGGCAAAAGCCTTGTGTTTATGAGAAGAAAGAAAAGGGAACCCTAGTTGTTAAAGAATCCTAATCCGCTAGACAGAGCAAAGTAAAAAAGCTTCTCCTAGGATAGAAAAGCATAGAAAAGAAAGGAATGGTGTGAGTAAAAGTCTGTAATTGCTTTGAGTGCAAAAGGGTAGAGTTAAGTTCATGATTCTGGGATTAGAAATAGGACCTCCATTTGGGTTGATATTGATTACATTCTGGGTAGATGGGGCTCTATCCTTGTATGCATAACTTGATACTCACCTTTAGCATTCTACTAAAGCTCAATTATTCTTGAGAGATCCCCTGTTGCGATTTAAACCAGATCTTTAAGGGACCATCTTTGTCTCTAAACCTTTACCCTTAAGCCAAATGCGTTCTTATCCAATGCATAGTATGATTCACGGTTCCTGCTTAATCAATGTTAAAGGGAATGTGCTGATTTGAATGCTTGAATTGATTAAGGCAGAGGTTAGGTTGAGATGTGAAGGAGATGGCTAATGTTTTTAAGTAGGGATCAGTCAACCTTGCATTCTAGAATTAGCAACCTGGACATTGAATTCACTTACTCTATGTGCATGTTTTGGTTCTGAGTCTCCACTTTCAAACCTCTTCTCCAGCTTAGTTCTATTTGTTTGCTTGAGGGCAAGCAAGAGCTAAGTTTGGGGGAGTTGATGTCTCTGTATTTTACCGCTTTTAAGCACACTTTTCTCGTGCACTTAGCTAAGTTTCATCTCTCTTTCATTGCATCCATAGTCCTTTTCATATCATTTTCATCACTTAGTACGATTTGCATTGCATGGCATAGCATATTGCATATTGGATGTGTTTCAGGTATTTGGAGCTTATTTGGGACTTAATGGATGCAAAGAAGAGAATTGATGATTCAGAGCCAGTCTGAAGTCCCTCAAAGATCGACTCAGATGGACGTCTTGCATTGCGATTTAGCTTCAGAGATCTTCATACAAGTTATAGGAAATTGAGTTACCTTTCCAACGGAGGTGATTTCAAGCGAATAAGAGCTTTGATGCAAGAATTATGGTGGTTTTAATGGAGACATATGCAGAAAACTGGTTGGACTCGACAGGAGGTCGAGCAGGCGCTCAGAAACCACCAAGGGTTGGACTCGACCACACCAACTCGACGTGAGGTCGAGTAGGACACCATCAAGGAGCACCCTTTGAAGAATCACTCCCCCTCGACCACATGGACTCGACGACACGTCGAGTAGGACGTCAGGAAGCAGTCTGGACACGGACTCGACCACGCAGGCTCGACGTCACGTCGAGTTGGCCTCCACCGACTCTCTATTTTGTCCTGTAGCCAATTAGGGCAACCTAGTATTTCCTATAAATAGGGGTACATGCTATTGTCCAGGGGATATTCCTTTTACCCAGCAGATATTGCTCTGTTCTCTCATAAACCCTAGTTTTTGTAATCGTTTTTCCTGTTGATCCTTTGAGTTTTTGCATTTCTTTTCTTCATCAAAGTTGTAGATCTGTCTCTTATCTATAACATACTTGCTTTTCAATGATTTCTGGGTTTGAAACGTTTTCTGGGTTTTTATGCATGATGTTCTTCAGTGTTCTTGAGTAGTGAATTAGGGTTCTTGAGGATGGGTTAGATTAGGTGTGGAATCATTTGTATATTTAGGTGGTTAAGTGTAGAATTGCTTGATTTCCCTTCTGGTTTAGTAGATCTTAATGCTATTTCCTCTCTGATCAATTGGAAGTTGATCTCAGATATTTCCACACCCAAAAGGTGTTTGATGAAATGTCTGAACCAACTATTCCAGAGATTTGCATACTCTAGCCCAAGAGATTGGATGTTTAGAATGCTTATTGACTTTATTAGATTGAATCATAATGCCTGCTAGGTTATATTTCTTCAATGAGAATTGAGTATGAAAGTGATTTAGCTTGAGAATCTCTGTCACGAGAGTGGATTGATTTGTATTCGAATCTATTGTCTAGGGATAGCTTGATTGAGTTTGTTAACCACCTAGGTAGACTAAGGAGACTGCCATAATCGATTACCCCATTCCTCAGGATCCTTTATCTCTATTTGATTGTTTAAATCTTGTTTCTGTTAGTCTCTGTTGCTTAGCTCGACTTGTTAGGCCTAGATCGTTTCTCTGCATTGTTAGGTTGCTAGTTTCTTTTCCGAAGCTTATGCATCATAGTTTCTGGTCTTTAGTTTACTTCTTGCTCTTGTTTACTTGCTGTTTAGTTCTTTTTTTATGCTTTTAAATTTGGTATTTGCATGTTAAATTGGTTGCTTAGGATCAATAGAAACACACAAAACCGTTTCATAATTGGCTTGACTTATCTGCTTTCTGTTTCATATCTTGAATGCTTGCAGTCACACTGAGATTGGATTGATAAACCTGATATACTACAATGGCATGTGTATTAGGGATTGATACTTGTTAGATAGAGAAATCCTATTATCAGGCAATAAGAAGCTTTGTTAGTGTTTTTGGAGTCAAATATGATTAGATCTCGTGTGTATGAGTAGATATAAGAACTAGAACCGCAACCGGATCCCAAAAAGCTAAAGTAGTGTTACTCCGTTTAGAAGCTCCAAAACCAAAAACTCATAGGACTTCGGCCACACCCAAAAAGGTTTGAGAGGCAATAAGAAGCTTGGTTAGTATTTTTGGAGTCAAATATGACAAGATCTCGTGTGTATGATTGTATATAAGAACAAGAACCGCAACCGGATCCCAAAAGCTAAACTAGTGTTCCTCCGTTTAGAAGCTCCAAAACCAAAAAGCTTTGAGAGGCGATAAGAAGCTTTGTTAGTGTTTATGGAGTCAAATATGACTAGATCTCGATTATAAGAACTAGAACTGCAGCCGGATCCCAAAAGCTAAATTAGTGTTTCTCCGTTTAGAAGCTCCAAAACCAAAAACTCATAGGACTTCGGCCACACCCAAAAAGCTTTGAGAGGCATTAAGAATCTATGTTAGTGTTTTTGGAGTCAAATATGACTAGATCTCGTGTGTATGATTGAATATAAGAACTAGAACCGCAACTAGATCCCAAAAGCTAAACTAGTGTTTCTCCGTTTAGAAGCTCCAAAACCAAAATCTCATAGGACTTCGGCCACACCCAAAAAGCTTTGAGAGGCATTAAGAATCTTTGTTAGTGTTTTTGGAGTCAAATATGACTTGATCTCGTGTGTATGATTGAATATAAGAACTAGAACCGCAACCGGATCCCAAAAGCTAAACTAGTGTTTTTCCGTTTAGAAGCTCCAAAACCAAAGTCTCATAGGACTTCGGCCACACCCAAAAAGCTTTGAGAGGCATTAAGAAGCTCTGTTTGTGTTTTTGGAGTCAAATATGACTTGATCTCGTGTGTATGATTGAATATAAGAACTAGAACCGCAACCGGATCCCAAAAGCTAAACTAGTGTTTCTCCGTTTAGAAGCTCCAAAACCAAAATCTCATAGGACTTCGGCGACACCCAAAAAGCTTTGAGAGGCATTAAGAAGCTCTGTTTGTGTTTTTGGAGTCAAATATGACTTGATCTCGTGTGTATGATTGAATATAAGAACTAGAACCGCAACTAGATCCCAAAAGCTAAACTAGTGTTTCTCCGTTTAGAATCTCCAAAACAGACAACTCATAGGACTTCGGCCACACCCAAAAAGCTTTTAGAGGCATTACACTACAAGAAATATCTACATTATTAACAAGAGAAAAGAGCTATTATATGTCATCAATAGCGTTTTCATAAATGCTGTCTTATGCCCCTGTTATGGTAGATCTCCTTCATACGATAACGTTTTTGGAATGCTATGGTAAACCCTCATATACGATAGCATTTTGCACGTTATAACACTAACCGAATGCTATAATATACTTTATTATAACACTCGTTTAGTGCTTTTTTATATAATGCTGTAACATTTTTTTCGCTTTATAAATTTAGTTTTATAAATAAAATTTAATTTATATTGAAACCCAATTTTGTAAAATTTAATTAATATAATTTTTATATTATATAAATCATCAACAAGTAAAATTACATTAACCAATTAGCCAAACAAGTCGTACATAACATCCTACAAATCTTATACTAACATCATAAGGACAAGTCTTACATAACATCCTACAAGTCTTATACTAACATCATAAGGACAGAGACACTTCGATCTATTCAATTTCTTCTCTTCTATCTATTTCGCCTCCTCATCAAAAGCAGGACAGATAAAACTTCGATCTGAACAATTGTTCCTATTAGCATTCATGTCGGTAGGCTACATAAAACAAAAGATTTTTGAGTGATGACACTTCATGAAGAACTGTTGAGTCACGTCATGTTTAAGACCAACACAACTGAAACAAAAACCATAAGCTAGTAAAATAAAGAGATTTCAAGTAAATGACGTAAGAACAAAGGGACAAAATACACCATCTTACAACTCTTATTCACTAAGATGAAAAAAGAAATCGACACATGGGAATACATCTACCAAACATACACATATGTATATACAACGTACTTTGTTAGCTTGGACATAATCATGACAGCCTTAGTATTAAGCTAAGATGGAGTTTAAAACTTGAAGAAACATCTTACCACTTAAGCTCCTGCAACAACATGAAAGCTCCTTCTCCTAAACACCTTCCTTCTCATTTGGATGTAGCAAACAAACATAAATGAACAAAGCAAAGACCTTTAGGAAAATTAAACTCAAACTTAGAAAGTAATATATAAATCACAGACATTGAGTTGATTTCCAAGCTCTCCATTATCATCTAGAGCTTTAACTCTTCGGAGCATCAACAAACGTTTTAAGAGATACTTAGAAATCATAGAAATAACCTTTCATGATCGTGCTCCTCCTTCACCTTGGTATCCTCTACACTGTCTTTATCTTGAGTGCTTCCGTTAGTCTTGTAAAAGAGATCTTTTGCTTTGGCTGCCCGACCTCCACCTTCTATCTCTTTAGGAGCACTGATCAACCGGTCCTTCCACTGGAGAAAATTGACAACATACAGAAAATTGCAAAGGGTTTTAATTTTTCGGGCAGTGGGATGTGTACATTTCAAGCATGAGAGAAATATAGTCTTCAAGGCAAGATTTGCTGCTGCAGCATGCACTCCTTGAGAAAGCTTAGGGGATTCAAGCTCAGTAGAACATGTAGAATTTTTCCACAGTATGCATGACGTTTCTTTGCAACTGATTAAAGGCTGTATAAGAAACATAATTAAAAGTCAAATCTAAGGTTTTCATCCATGTTCAGATTATAAAGATCTTCTAGACAAAAAAGAACCAAAACGTATACTCTTCTCCTTTCCAAGCTTCAAACTGATTCAACAATACCAAATTAAACAGCACATATAGATGCACTTAAAAACAACGCACCTGTTGATGAGAACAATAATCGTCGAGCTATTTAGAGATTTTGCTGCAGGGTGCCTAAGCTGATCAAGCAGTAACCCCAATTTTTGACTGGCCTCAATCAACAAGTCTCCAATTTTCAATTGACTGGCCTCAATCAACAAGTCTCCAATTTTCAGAACAGGAGAATAGATATATTCAAATCTGCTTCAATTCCACTAGTGATTGCAGAATCCACTCCACTAGTGATTGCAGAATCTATAGTTTAGGGTTCATAATTTAAGAAATCAGAAATAGATGTACCTTTACTTTGTTTCGTGATGGCGACGAGCTTCACGGTGGACACGAACCCAAGCCGGCGACGATCTTCACGGTGAACACGAAATGAGGCCGGCGACGAGCTTCACGGTGAACACGAATTGAGGCCGGCGACGAGCTTCACGGTGGAGGCCGACGACGAGCTTCACGGTGGAGGCTATGGCGGAGTCGAAGAGACCTCACACGAACAAATCTCTTTCTTCGATTTGGGAGATTTTTTTTTGTTTGGAGATATGTTTCATGTTATAGTAAAGCGAAGGGTTTTAATTTTTCGGGCTTTGGCGTTTAAAATTTTTGGATCTGAGTCAAATGGCGTTTAAGTGAATTATTTCGTCTAAATATTGGGGAACAAGTGATTTTAGCTTCTTTTTTAATGATTTTCTGTTTTAGCATTGTTTTATTGCTATTATATAGTAACTAAAATTAAAATTTTATCTTTCATAGCAGTTGCAGAAAATGAGTTATCATCATGTGCTATCAATGTGAATATTTCTTGTAGTATTAAGAAGCTTTGTTAGTGTTTTTGGAGTCAAATATGACTAGATCTCATGTGTATGATTGGGTATAAGAACTAGAACCGCAACCGGATCCCAAAAGCTAAAGAAGTGTCACTCCGTTTAGAAGCTCCAAAACTAAAAACTCATAGGAGTTTGGCCATACCCAAAAAGCGTTGAGAGGCAATAAGAAGTTTTGTTAGTGTTTTTGGAGTCAAATATGACTAGATCTCGTGTGTATGATTAGATATAAGAACTAGAACCGCAACCGGATCCCAAAAGCTAAACTAGTGTTTCTCCGTTTAGAAGCTCTAAAACTAAAAAGTCATAGGACTTCGGCCACACCCAAAAAGCTTTGAGAGGAAATAAGAATCTTGGTTAGTGTTTTTAGAGTCAAATATGACTAGATCTCGTGTGTATGATTGAATATAAGAACTAGAACAGCAACCGGATCCCAAAAGCTAAACTAGTGTTTTTCCGCTTAGAAGCTCCAAAACCAAAATCTCATAGGACTTCGGCCACACCCAAAAAGCTTTGAGAGGCATTAAGAAGCTTTGTTAGTGTTTTTGAAGTCAAATATGACTAGATCTCGTGTGTATGATAGATTATAAGAATTAGAACCGCAACCGGATCCCAAAAGCTAAACTAGTGTTTCTCCGTTTAGAAGCTCGAAAACCAAAATCTCATAGGACTTCGGCCACACCCAAAAAGCGTTGAGAGGCAATAAGAAGCTTTGTTAGTGTTTTTGGAGTCAAATATGACTAGATCTCATGTGTATGATGAGGTATAAGAACTAGAACCGCAACCGGATCCCAAAAGCTAAAGAAGTGTAACTCCGTTTAGAAGCTCCAAAACCAAAAACTCATAGGACTTCGGCCACACCCAAAAAGCTTTGAGAGGCATTAAGAATCTTTTAATATGATCTTGGTCGAAGATCTATGTCCCTTGAATACACTTCGTGAGGTTGAACGAAAATAGCTTGCGGATTGACTGTTTTAGAGAGGTGGAGATCGAGTAGGCGATCTGGTGGACGTGTTCGAGTGGTCTGGTAAGTGTACTCGAGTGGTCTGGTGAGTGTACTCGAGTAGGTCTGTTGAGTGTACTCGAGTAGGTCTGTTCGAGTGGATCTGGTGGAGTGAAACGAGTGAGATCGAGTGGTGAAGAAGATGAGGGGTCGAATAGAACTTCCAAAGGCTGCGGGATTCCTTTGAACTTCCAGGCTTGATTCTGCTTGGATATGACACACCAAGAGCAGTTTCAAGATGAGATCGTGATATTACACACACAAACTCAAGATCAAACGAATTCAGAAAGAGTTTTGATAAGAAAATGTTTGATGATGTTTACAATGGAGGAGAACCGAATATAAAGAAGAAGAAGAGAGTCTAGGGAGTTGAAGAGTTCACCTAGGGAAAGAAAAACGAAATAAACACACAAGACTAAGTTTAAAATCGAAATGGGCTACTCCATGCAGATGGGCTCTGAGACAGCAATGGGCTTGAGTAAAAGAGTGTGTGGGCTTGCCTCATTAAAAACCTCTCTTGGAAAACCCATTGAGACAAAACCAAGAGGAGGGAAAAAGAGTGCAAGTCACACACCTCCGTTGCTGTCGCTTAAACGGCTTGAATCACAACCAGTGTGGTTGGACAAGCTTCTGGTTTAAGGCTGCCCTCAATGTGTTGTAGAAGTGTGTTGATAGCTTGATTCAACTGCTTAGTCCTTGATCTCGTCATTGGTCCAGTAGCAACTTGCAATGCAACGTCCTCGTTAGCTCCAAGAACTTCATCTCCATGCTCCTTAGCTCCATGCTCGATCAAGTGTTCCTCTGGTGCAATGTCCTACTCGATCACATTTCCTGCTTGGTGGTCGAGTATGTCCTCTGGTACATGCTGATCCTTAGCTCCATGATCCAAGCTTTCCATTATCACATCATCCTCTCCCAGTTGAAAAGGATTTGACCTCAAATCTGTATTATCTGCAATGAAAGGGATAAGGTCAGCAACATTGAAGCTATTACTTACGTTATACTTACCTTGCAAATCCAGCGAGTAGGCATTGTTGTTGATCCTCTTGAGCACTTTAAAAGGTCCGTCTATTCTTGGCATAAGCTTAGACTTTCTCTCCTTAGGAAAACGTTCTTTTCGGAGATGAATCCAAACCAAGTCTCCTTCGTTGAAGATGATTTCCTTTCTGCTCTTGTTGGCTTGCTTAGTATACTGCTTTCTCTTTTCTTCAATATTCTTCTTTGCCTGCTCATGAATCTGTTGAACTAATTCTGCCTTCTTCTTTCCATCCAGACTAACTCTTTCATTCAAAGGTAAAGGCATCAAATCCAAAGGAGTAGTGGGATTGAACCCATAAACAATTTGAAAAGGTGAAAATTTAGAGGCAGAATGCATAGAATGAGTATATGCAAACTCAACATGAGGCAAACAGTCCTCCCAAGTCTTTAGATTCTTTTTAATCAATGCACGCAGGAGTGTAGACAATGTCCTATTAACTACCTCAGTTTGACCATCAGTTTGCGGGTGACAAGTAGTAGAGAACAACAACTTAGTTCCTAGCTTAGACCAAAGCGTTTTCCAGAAATAACTAAGAAACTTAGTGTCTCTATCAGATACTATGGTCTTAGGCATGCCATGTAGACGAACTATTTCTTTAAAGAACAGGTTGGCTATATGCATTGCATCATCAGTTTTATGACATGGAATGAAATGTGCCATCTTAGAAAATCTATCCACAACCACAAAAATCGAATCCTTACCTGTCCTAGTCCTTGGCAAACCCACTACAAAGTCCATAGAAATATCATTCCAAGGATGCGAAGGAATAGAAAGAGGAGTATACAAACCGTGGGGTTGTGACTTAGCCTTAGCTTGTTTACATGTCGGGCACCTTTCACACATTCTCTCCACATCTCTTTTCATGTGCGGCCAGTGAAAGTGATCTTGCATTACCTTAAGGGTTTTTGAGACTCCAAAGTGTCCCATTAAGCCTCCACTGTGTGCTTCCCTTACAAACAGCTCTCTCAAAGAAGAATTAGGAATACACAAACGGTTATCATAAAATAAAAACCCGTCATGTCTATAATACTTTCCAAATGCAAACTTCTCATAAGATGAATATATCTTTTCAAAATCAGAATCATTTGCATAAAGAGATTTTATATGCTCAAACCCGAGTAACTTAGCATCAAGAGATGAGAGAAGAACATACCTCCTTGACAATGCATCAGCAACTACATTATCCTTACCTTTTTTGTATTTGATGACATAGGGGAAGGTCTCAATGAATTCAACCCACCTTGCATGCCGCTTGTTGAGCTTCTGTTGTCCTTTAAGATGCTTTAAGGACTCATGATCTGTGTGAATGACAAACTCCTTAGGCCAGAGATAATGCTGCCATGTCTGTAGTGCTCTCACCAAAGCGTAAAGCTCCTTGTCATAAGTAGGATAATTGAGAGTAGCTCCTCCTAGCTTTTCACTAAAATAAGCTATTGGCTTCTTATCCTGCATTAAGACAACACCAATTCCTACCCCGGAGGCATCACATTCAATCTCAAAAGTTTTAATAAAATCAGGGAGAGATAAGACAGGGGCATTAGTAAGCTTCTCTTTCAAAGCTTGGAAAGCATCCTCTTGAGCCCGTTCCCACTTGAATCCAACATTCTTCTTGATAACTTCAGTGAGAGGAGCTGCTAGAGTGCTAAAATCCTTTACAAACCGCCTATAGAAGCCGGCAAGTCCATGGAAGCTTCTCACTTCTCCTACAGATTTTGGGCTGGGCCATTCACGGATTGCCTTAACCTTTTCTTCGTCGACTTTTACTCCATCTGTACTCACAACAAAACCTAAGAAGACAAGTTTATCTATTCCAAAAGTACATTTCTTAAGGTTGGCATAAAGCTTTTCCTTCCTAAGGACTTCTAGAACCATTTTCAGATGATCTACATGCTCTTCTAGACTCTTGCTGTAGACTAGGATATCATCAAAGTACACTACAACGAAATGTCCTATATAAGCTCTAAGAACATGATTCATCAGCCTCATGAATGTACTAGGTGCATTTGTCAGCCCGAATGGCATCACTAACCATTCATACAACCCTTGCTTAGTCTTAAATGCAGTTTTCCACTCATCGCCTTCTTTCATCCTAATTTGATGATATCCGCTTTTCAAATCTACTTTAGAAAAGATACTAGAACCATGCAATTCGTCTAACATGTCATCTAATCTAGGTATAGGATGGCGATACTTCACTGTTATATTGTTGATGGCTCTGCAGTCAACACACATTCTCCAGCTTCCATCCTTCTTAGGTACAAGCAATACAGGTACATCACATGGACTCATACTCTCACGAATATGACCTCTCTCCATTAGCTCGGTTACTTGTTTTTCTAGCTCCTTGGTCTCCACAGGATTAGTTCTGTATGCTGGTCTGTTTGGCAAGGACGCTCCTGGAACAAAGTCTATTTGGTGCTCAATGCCTCTGATGGGTGGTAAACCTTGAGGATTCTCCTCTGGGAACACATCAGTATAATCCTGCAATAGAAACTTAATTTTGCTAGGAATGGCCTGCTCAGGATTAGTTATACTCACGAGAGTCTCTTTAAAAACAAAGAGTAATTTAGATGAATGTAAATCACTTCCCTTTTGCTTACTCTCGGTTATCATGAGGTTAGGTGATTTTTCTTTCTGTTTCCTCCTCATTTTCATGCTCAACTGGTCAAGATATACCTCATGCGGAGTCATTGGAGCCAATATGGTTTTTCTGCCCTTGAACTCAAAGATTTGACGATTGGTGAAACCGTCATGCATT